CCTCCCTCACTTCCCATCACAACCACCATGAGCTGCAGGCTGTTCTCACCTCTGACCAAGGGGTGCAGTCTCTGACAGAGGCCTCGGGAAAAGCCCAGCCTCCCCCGCCCCCCGCCCCAAACTTGGCATCTGCTTCTTCCCCCAATCCTTCAAGAGGCAATAATGCATAACCCATGGACACCGCCTGGGGGGCAGGGGCAGGTCGGGGTGAAGGGAGTCAATGGGGAAAGGGGGGGACATCTGTAATACTTTCAACAATAAAAAAAAAATGGCAATGGAGTGTTTCTGACCTGCCTGAGGATGCTACACACCTGAGTCAAAGGCTTAATGAAAGGAAAAGGTCCCGTTCTGCGCTGAGGGGCCTGCCAGAAGTGAACCATTCACAGCCATCCAGTCTTCAGTACCCACTGCCCTGTGCGTTAACAGCAAGTTTGAAGAGTTAGGGGTGCTCAGGAGGTGTCTCCCTCCTTGCAGGGGAGGGAGGGGGGCCCAATGTGGGGGCTGTAGAGCAAGAGTGTTGACAAGAAGTCAGGCCTTCCCCAGCTGGCGGCCTAGCTCAGTGGTTGAGCATCCACTTATGAACCAGGAGGTCATGGTTCGATTCCCAGTTGGGGCACATGCCCAGATTTTGAGCTCAATCCCCAGTGTGTGGTGTGCAGGGGGCAGCCGATCAATGATTCTCTCTCATCACTGATGCTTCTATCTATCTTTCCCTCTCCCTTCCTCTCTGAAATCAATAAAAAAAAATCAGGCCTCGCTGCCCTCGGGTGCCCCACCACATCCCCGAACAATCGTGGTCTGAGGGAAAAGGGCTGTGTGAGGAAGCCCACACCATGACACATGTCCCACAGGCCAGCTGACCCTGTCCTGAAGGTTCCTCCAGGATTTGGCCTGATTCCAGTCTCTGAACAAATAAGACTCCAGGAGGGACTCCAAGAAATCAGAGACCCCAGCTGTCATTCTGATGCTGCCCCCAGCCACTCCTCCTCTGGGAGACACTAGTGGTGGAGACGATGAGCCGGGCACAGTAAGTGGGGGAATTTGGAAGGAGGCTTGTAAACATCAGGTGCTACATAAATGCAGGAGAAGAGCACGGGCCTGACCATGGGCCCTGTTAGTCACGCAAAGCCAACCTCCAATCACTCCTCTTCCAGAAGACAAAGGAGGAGATGGCAGGCAAGTCCCTAGAAGGAAAGGGTGAGAACCACACTGCCAACCTCAGCAGCCCGTCCTCACTGACCTGCTGATACTGCGCTCACTGCCCTTGGGAGGGAAGCGGGGACGGCGGCCTTTGCAGGAAGGAAATCTGAGAGTGAAGAGACAAGCCCGAGGTCAGACGGCAGAAGCAGAGTGAGGAACAGAGCCAACGTGTTCAGGGCTCAGAGCCTGGTGCCCGACTCAGAAATCCACCCAAGCAGCTTTTTCATTTCTCTTCACTTGAACCTTTGTCTTCAAGCATTTCCCCTTGTCTACCAGCAAGGGCACCGAATGTAGAAGGAAAGTGATGTCATTTTGTACTAGGTCAGAAGGAAAGGTTAGCATTATTCCGAGTCATGCAAATATAAGGTAGCACCATCATCATCATCATCATCATCAACCACCACCAAACCCTCAGGGTATTAAAGGATGGGACATTAAGAGCATACACCAACGTCTCTTAGAAATAACATATGAGGATATCTAGGACATCCACTCAGCCCCAGCAGTGGCCTGGATGCCCCAGGTGGTAAATGAAGGATCATCTGTTTAGCATCAGTGGAAGGAGCCAACACCTCTAAGGATAAGGGGCAGAGAACAGGGTCTGTTTCCTATCAACATCGTCCATGTAGTGAGCACCGGCCAAGAGTAAGGGGAAGTCTCTGTGGAGAGAGAAAAGGGGAAAGGAAGGCCATTGCTGTTGCAGAGGAAGCCTGGTCCCCAGGTTCAAGGCCTGAGCCTGGCCATGACCACAGAGGCCAGGGAACCTAAATAGACAGAAAGTACCTCAAACTTGCTACCCTATAGGATCCTTTTCCCAGGGGCCCATCAGAGAGAGAGGGTAACTCCTTCATCATCATGGAAACTCACGGGAGCATTTTCAGAAGAACCCCGCTGCTGCCTCTGGCAGTTACAGTGCTTCCCTCAGCAGAGACCAGCCTCTGGCTCCCTCCTGGATGGAGGAGTAAGAGCGGGGTTCAACTGTCACTCAATGGCAAGTGGCCGTCACTCGGTTTATGCTATGTCGGTTACACTTCCAAGAAAGGTGGCTACCACCTAACAAAATGGCAAAAGGTAGAACATGAGCAAAGGAAGCATCCCTGCCTCACACCACAGAGCACCATCCAGAGTCAGCATGGTTTGGATCATGCTGCAGACTGCACCCCACCTCCCCCCGAGAGCCGCTTAGTGGCTTACAGGTGTGTTGGTGGCTGGAGCTATGCAGAGTCCAGGGAGGTGCACAGAACAGACCACCTGTGTCCCTCTCCCACCAGGAATGAAGAGGAGTCCTGGCTGGACTCACAGTTTATTCCTCCTGGCTAAGGAGTAGGGAATCAGGGCAAAAACAGTCTCCTAGATGTAGGCTTCACTGAACAAAGACAAAGAGAGGATGAGATGCAACAACAAACCCTGGGCCACAAAACCAATAGTGCCTCCCCAGCCAAGACTAGGTGGGGCCCTTGAACCAAAGTGCCAGTGGGCTCATAAAACAAGGAACGATTTGAAAGCCATCCCCACAGCAGGATGTCTGTCACAGGTGCAGAGAGAGAGCAGTGACCATATCTATCACTTGGACCTGCTTCACCGCTCTCCCCGTTCTGACATTCAGGCAGCAAGAGCAAGGAGCCTGCAGGCTGGCACCAACACCTCCAGAGGAACGTTTTATGATAAAAGGCGGTGGAGCAACACAGAGTCTTGAGGGGGGAGGAGCAGGACCTAAGGACTCTACTCCCAATCACGCTGTTTCCCCCACTCAGAGACAACTGTTCTCACGGATGCAGGAGGCCTCACTGATGCAGGAGGCCTCAGAGTGAGTGGAGTAGTGAAGATGCGTAAGAGAAAACTCCAGAAGAAGCTCAACATTCAAGTCAAGGAATCAAATTCCAGAAAAGTCAGGGTTGACCACTGTTGTCCTTCCTACCTGGCTCCAGAGTCCAGCATTGGGGCCATCTGTGCACAGAGACAAGAGCCTTGGCCAGTGGCCAGTGCCGGGACTTGGAGGTTAACTGTCCATCGGTGGCTCTCGGAGCACCTTACAATCATCGCCGCCGCACGCATCCATTCACGGAAGGTACTACCAAGGGCCCTGTTTTACTTCACGGGCATTTCAGAATGGATGGCCTGGCTGAGAAGGAACACCCTTGCCCAGTTCCAACCCCCTGTGTCGAGGACCCCCCACCCCCACCCCATATGCTATTCTGGTGCAATGCAGGATATCTACCAACCAAATACGGAACCCAAAGTCCACTATTTCCAGGGACTGGAGGAAAGCTCGCGGGAAGGGAATGACACATAAAGATCAGACAACAAAAGGGACAAACGGAGGAACTTGGTCTCTGGCATCCCAAGCAACTGCTCATGGGATGAGCTTATGTTTGTATCGGAACCTGGCCTGACCATGTCTGGATCCCAGGGAGATGGGTGCCAAAAGGAACAAGGATGGACAGACTCCGTTACCCTCTTTACTGCAGCTAACTGTATTTTCCCTAACACCCTCCTCGCCCCCAGCTCTCACTGAGGCAGCTTCCCTACCACGGGCAGGCTCAAATAAATAGGTGGGCACCTGGAAGTGCAGGGAGGTAGTGCCGGGTCCATCCGTCCCCCAACTGGCATGGAAGGGCTTAGGACACAGAAAAGCTCACATCAAACAAGATTCTGATTCATGGGTGTTGGGGAAGAATGTGGAAGAGACATAAAATCAATCACAGAACATCCAATACTGATGTTTGGGAAGGCTGAACTCAGGGCTAACAGGGCCCCCAGGACAGGCCCTGGGCATACCCAGGGGGCTGAGGAGAGGGAGCAGCAGACAGATTTGGCTGAGTGACGCCGCAGGGTCACCCTAAAGGCGAGGAAGACTGTGGAGGGTGGGGGACATGCACGTACCCCCTCCCCCTACAGCCAGAGCTGATAGCCACAGCCCCTCCAGTGGACACAGGTAAAAGGCCCTGCAGGGCTAGCGACCCTCTGAAGTGGCTCTGCTTCCATCCCTTCTGTCTTCAAAGTGCATTATCAGTGCAAGAAGTGGGACTGGATCTCAGGGGTCCAACTCTGAGAAAGGGCTGTGCCAGCCAGCTCCCCCATCTCCTCCTGCATCCCCCTTGCCCACCCTGAGCCTTTCCATGCTAAGACCAGAACTCTTGCTGGATTTCATAAGAGGCAGGCCTGTGTGCGCTCAGTTCAGCTCTACACAGTGGCACAGTGCTGTCCTGACTCTGGCCCTCGGCGTCCAGGTCCAACAGCGTCCGCTCGGTGGGGGGCAGCGGCCCCGCCTGGAACGGGAGCAGGGCTGGGAGCCCAGGCCGCTCCTCCAAAGTGCTGCTGCTGCTAGCAAGGCAGGAGTCCAGGTTGCTGGGTGTCTCTGTGCTGGAGCTGTTGGCCGGGGAGGCGCTACGGGCGTGACTGGGGGACACAAACCACCAGGGGTCCAGCCGTTGCCGGTTGGCGGAAGGACGCGGCCGAGGCAGGAACTCCAGGGTCTTGGGTCTCTCCAAGGCGGAGTCCTGCTGTGTGTTCCAGCGCCTCGGGGTTGGGGGGAAAACTACATTGGGGTCAGGGAGACGGGGGAATTCACCTGGGTCTCGGCTGGGGCTGGGGGTTTTCAACATTCCTGGTCAAAAAGACAAAGGGAGTGGCATCAGATGAGGGTCCCTTGTTTCTGGGCCAGGTATACTCTGCTCCATCCCCACCTTGCCAAGGCCCTACTCACTTGGGATAACACAAACAACAAGTAGTTAATGAGCACCTACTATGTGCCATGCAGTGTGTTGGGAGGCACTGGAAAATACAACAGTGAACTAGAAGACCATGGTCACTATATCTGACAACAATAACGGGATAGATGGGGGTTATATCTATAATTAAATGACTTAAGGCAGATGCTGGTAAACTACAACTCACAGGCCAGCCACCTGTGTTTGTAAATAAAGTTTTATTGGAACAGAGCCACACCTACTGCCTGCTCTCCCACTGCAGCAGCGGAGGTGGGCAGTTACAACAGAAACTGTATGTCCCACCAAGCCTAAAATACTGACCATCTGGCCCTTTACCAAAAATGTTTGCTGACCCATGACTTAAGGAAATGTCGGTTCATTCCCAGTTCATCTATTTAATAAACATGTGATGAGGACAAAGCTAGGCATCAGAAATCTAAAAAAAGGGAGTAATATAGGGAGAGGTCACATATTTATGTTTAACAAAAAAAATCTTGTCCTAACTGGTTTGGCTCAGTGGATAGAGCATCAGCCTGTGGACTCAAGGGTCCCAGGTTCGATTTCCGGTCAAGGGCGTGTACCTTGGTTGCGGGCACATCCTCAGTGGGGAGTGTGCAGGAGGCAGCTGATCAATGTTTCTCTCTCATCGATGTTTCTAACTCTCTATCCCTCTCCCTTCCTCTCTGTAAATAATCAATAAAATATATTTTTAAAAAATAAAGGATGAGTTCCTTTATAAAAAAAACAAAATCTAAAGAGGGGAGAGACAGCTGGATGGGCGGATACAATGATCATTTACAGGCAAATCCCCTTGAAAAGTACTACATCGCGTCTCCTACTGGATTAGAGGCGGCTTCCAAGTCAGACCCAGGTCTTCTGGGAGGAAGGGCTAGTGATGGGAAAGACCCAGGAAGGGTGCAGGCGTGCCCAGGTGTCACAGGTGTCACAGGTGTCAGATGGAGAAGGCAGGTCTCTGCGCAAGCACAGCAATTTACCTGGACACACCTCCACTTCCGAAGAGTCAGGCATGAGTCAGGGGTGAGTGGTGAAGGGCAGGAGGCCTGGGCGGAGGTTTGCCTATGAGTGTGCCTGTCCTAGTGCTATCATGAGGCGAGAGCACAGCAAAAAACACCCGTCCTAGTTCAGGGCAGGCTCCTTCTGGTAACCGCAATCTCTTCTGCAGGGAACAAGCAGAGCTAGGCTCCCGCCCTCCTGTGCCCTGACGCTGGCCCTCTGCATTCAGGCCCAGAGCACTGCCTTGTGCTCTCCCAGGCCCAGGGCCCCAGCGTCCACAGGAGCCCAAATCCCGGCTCTGGTCCTTCCTAGAACCTGCCTCTCTTGCTCCTCAGGGAAGACCCCCTGAGGCACAGGACAGACCAGCCATCTGGATTGGCTGAGTCAGAGGAGGAATGGAGTTCACTGTAACATCCCTACCCTTGGGGAAGGCACAAAGGCAGGAAAGAGAAGAGAGGAGGGGGCAGGACTCACCTGCTCCAGGGCTGGGGCTCAGCCCGTTGCTGGAGGGGCTCCTGCTGGCCAGGAGAGCCGCTGGCTTGAGGGCCCCGTCAGAAGGGGTCCGCCGGTGACCACTGGGCTGCGTGGGGGCTGTGAGGGTGACGTGGGTGGGAGTCAGAGATTGGTGAGGGTCCCGTTTGAAGCGCTCCACTCGGATGTTGACCAAGGGGTTGTGGGTGCAAGGGGTCGGGGGTGGGGCCTCCACTGGGCTGACAGGCATCTCATACACCACGATCTCATCGCTGTCCGAACGCAGCAGGGAGCGCGTGGAGTTGCACTCGGAGATGGAGGAGAGAGACAGCAGTGTCAGGGAGGCAGAGGGGTCTCCTAGCAACAGCATGGGCTCCTCCTTCTTGAAGAGCTTCCGGGATGGGGGGCTGGTGCTCCGTCGAGGACGACTGGCCCTCTGAAAAAGTCCCTCGCGCCTCTTCTTCTCCTCCCGGGCTGGTGGCTCAGGCTCCTCTGGGAGAGGCAGCTGGCACTTGCCAGCTTCCAGCAGGTCAAACCCTAGGCCTGTGGCTGCGAGAACAGCCCCACAGCCAAGCAGAGCCACCTCACAGCGGCGGTGGTGGGCGCCGCCCCGCTTGAGGCTGTTGGTTGGCGTCAGCTGAGGGGTACTGGTGGCTGAGTTGACTGGGGTGGGCTCCTCGTGGGCTGTGTCACTGGGGGGGCCATCCCCATCCTCTCCACGAGGGAATGGGATACAGAGGTAGGACTGGTTGGGTGAATGCTGTAGGCGACTTTCCCCACTCCCTGGGCCTTCGTTGTCCTCATCCTCTGTGAAGTTGAGAGTAGACGGGAAATAGAACATGGGAATGCAGCAGCAACAGTAAGATTCTGGTCCGTCTCCCCCACCCAGGCCTCCTGGCTCAGTGTCAGGGATGCAGAGGTCAAAGAGTCAGGTGGGCGAGATGGGGGACTGGGCATTGAACCAACAGGGCTTTACCCCTCCCCACTCCACTGTGACCAGCGAGAAATCACTCTCCATTCCAGAGCTTGTTTCCCTACTTGCAGAAGCAGATCTGCCAATTTCCTACTTCTTTCCTAGGGACCCTCAACACAAGAAGAGCAGCGAGTTCCCTAGAACAATGGATAGACAGAAACATCCCTAATTTTTTTGCACTTTGGAATTGCAAGGGACCTTGGGTTTCTAGAATGACAGCCTGGAGATGTGTCTTAAGACTGGACTCTTGCAAAGGAGTAGATCCCCTCCATGGGTGAAGGCCAACCTTCTCTATAGACTGACCTACTATGACCTTGGGAATCTACAGAGATAAATAAGAGGATGACTCTCTGAGAGAGAGCCTGGAGAAGACCTTACCCATTCAGTGATCTCCCTTAAGAGGAAGACTGCGGCAACCTCTACCACCATCTCTTGTTTTATGGACATCCTACACTGAAATATGAGGAAACAGACCCAGAAACGGAAAATGCCTGAGTCAAGGCCTCACCCTTCTGCACTGCCCTAAGGAGACCCTGACTGGCCCCTTGGGACAGAAGGCCAAGGGCAGGCTCCATGGCAGCCGTAGTGACTTGGGAAGATTCAATGAAATGGGAATAGCGCAAATGAAGAGGGACTAGGGTGGGGGGCCAGGATTTGAGTAAAAGAGGGGACGACCCCATGAAGTAATACTGAGGACCCTACACAGTCCTAGAAGCTTGGCAAGAATTCCCTGGGGGCACAGGGAGAGAGTCTAGACAAGGGCAATGCTTACCCATCTCCGTAAGGCTGGTGAACCCCGGCAGGGCCGGGCTGCTCCGAGGGCCCTTCCCCAGGTTGGGGGCACTGGACGACCACTGTTTGTATCCATCTACCAGGGACTTGAGGCTACAGAAGGGGAAAGGAGGACACTATTAATACTGGTTACTGCCCTTACTCCACCCTCAGTTCCATGGGCCTGTGGGAATGTGTCTCCCTTCATGACACCAGAGCCCTCTAGAGCCTTGGGGAACAGGCAACAAACCTTACTGAGCCCACCTGCTTCATCAACAAAAGCGCACATGCTGCAGGGAGAGAAAAGCAGCGGCGTGACACCCCCCCCTTCACATGCTGCTAAGGGCTGTGGAAGGATCTGATGGGCAGACCGGGAAGAGGACAGAGGAATAAGGACTGCCCAGCACCGGCCAGGATCTACCCTGAGCCCATCTTAAGGGAGAGGCCATCCATCCACAGACACTGAATACAACACACGGGTGACATCAGAAACACTGCAATGCCATGCCAGCCAGGCCCTGGGCAGAGGAGCGGGCAGAGACGGCCAGGTGGCTCCACTCACATCATTTCTCAATTCCTCCTTCCAAGCTTATGGCATGCTCAGGCAACTGTCAAAGCCATTCACTTTCCAAAAATCAAAAACCAACCAACACAGCTGCACCAACCCAGTGCACTTTGGGACAGACCTATGTGGGGAGGACGTAACGCTGTATGCGAGCCCTCGGTTTGTCTGGGACTGGAGAGCAAAAGGACAGGAGCGCGCTTTCATCCCTGGAATCAGCTCACACTAGCAAGCCAGCAACTCCAGACACAGACTGGGAAGCCCACCAACCCCCTGATAGGTGTGTTTGTGGTTGGGGGCGGTGGGTTGTGGGGGGGGGGGGAGTCAGGGGCCCAGAAACACTGGCCTTTCCCTTGAGGACAATGAGAGGAAGGACAGGAATCTGTGCTGTGGTTGCCCTAGAAATACCAGTATTAGAACCTGAGGTGGCTCTCATTTTTGGGCTAGAAAGCCATTCAATGGAAGCCCACTCTTCCCAGTTTCTCTTGAGGGAGAGAGAAGAACCAAGTTTTTCCATGACTTCAGATCTGTTTCAAGTGCCATCACAAATACCAATGAACTAGAATACATTCTAGCCACCAGTGGTGTGAACCAAAATACACCACAGGAGATAAGCAAGCTGCTAGAACCCCTAGCCTGGGACTTCCGCCCGCTAACCTTAGAACAACACTGCCTCCAGCTCTGGGTCCAAGGAAATCCAGGTTAGCATAGTCAGAGCCAGCACTGCAGACCAAAGAGTACATACTACGGTCTCCCTACAATTAAGGGTACCAGGAGAGCCCCAATAACCAGAGTGATCAGGGAAGTGAAGAACAAGGTAAAGTCAGACCAACACAGGAATTCTCCCAAGGTGCACGATGGTACTGCTTAAAATAAATAAATGAAACGTCAGCACAGCTTGGCAGTAACGAGGCTGGATTCTATGAGGTGCACTGTGAGAACAAGGAAATGGAAGGGGGGCTATTGCCAATACATTTGAAAGGGTGACGATGAGACTCACCCCAAGTGGAAATGTGGAGATTCTGATGGGGTACTTAACCCGTTAGCTTTCTCACGTCTCTGAGGGGATCTTCAATGAACACAGAGAATCAGTAGTGGGTCGAGCAGGTATATCCAGCTCAGCCTCTCTCAGAGGAGACCCCTCAAGGCTGGACTCGAACCACGTCACCAGCCACCCTCCCCTTGTCCGGTCAGCAAAGCCCACACCATAAAAGGATCTTATGAAGATGGCCCAGCTTGAGCTGCTACACATCAGGACCACCCAGTCCCTGGGACAAAGGTCCCTGGGGCAGCCACAGCATCATTCTACGGGGCCTGCAAACTCCCCTACAAATGTGGACTATTATATTTTTAAAATATAGAGATGCAGATTCACTTAACATTACTAAATTCAATAGAGCTTTATGTCTATATATTTTCTTTAGCTGGCAGGGACCAAATTTAGAAATATTGTCATATAGAGGCTCTTAGAAATTGCTGACATTAAAGAGGTTTTTTTTATTCAAGACTGGGTAGAATCCATTTTATTTCTTAGATAGGAATTGAGAATCATGAAAAATGAAGTCACATATTTTGAACTGTTTCAAAAGTCTCAAGGGCAGGCCTGCCCGGGTAGTTCAGCTGGTCAGATCGTGCTCACCATACGCCAAGGTTACAGGTTCAGCCTCCAGTTGGGGCATAAATAGGAATCAACCATTGAATGCATAAATAAGTAGAAAAACAAACCGATGCTTCTCTCTCTTTCTCTCCCCTCCCACTCTAAAACAAAACAAAACAAAAAACTGGCTCAATTTGTTGGAGCATCATCTCACCCACCAAAAAAGTCGCAGGTTCGATTCCTGGTCAGGACACATAACTTGGTTGTAGGATTGATTCCCGGTTGGGGCATGTACGGGAGGCAACTGATCAATGTTTCTCTCCACATCGATGTAACTCCCCACCCCCACTTCCTCGCTCTCAAAAATCAATGAAGGCATAAAAAAAAAAAAAAATCAATGAAGGCATATCCTCGAATGAGGATTGGAAAAAAAAATCTTTAAAAATAAAGTTTTGTGAGCAAATGTATATAAGGAGGAAGAAAATCCCAAAGTTAACATTTTATACTGCAAAGTAAACTTAATTTATTAGCAAGAAAAAAAAACAACACAAAAAACAACCTCTTTAAATGAAGCCAAACCACAGAAACAACTGGGATCCTTAGCCAACCTGGTAAGTCCTATCTGTAATCACACTCATGTCAGACATATCATGGGATTCAGTGACTGAGTTTCTTCTCTCCCGCCCAGGGCACAGAGGACAGACCAAGGGCTCCTCCCGGGAAGAAGTCACACTTCACATCCCCAGGGGGTCTACACAGCTTAGGTAGTTTGCCCTAAATTTTCTATCCCAGGGTAGCTAGCAATCTCCAAAGCCTGGCTTCAAATAGTCAGTCCTTTACGAACCAAAGTATTTTCACATTCAGCTCAGATCTGACATAGCGAGCTAGATTTTGGACACGAAATCTTCGTGTTTGGAGGAACATGAAGGCCAATTATAGGTTGAGGGCACCTAGAAGTCTGCTATTGAACCTTAGAAGCTCTTCGGAAAGCCACTAGAAAGGGTGAGGCAAATTGCTGCTTATATTCACACTAGGAAAAGTAAAAACAAACAAACATGGTTCTAGATTCTCACACCAAGAATAAGAAGTATAAACCATTGTGTTTGTTCTTCAGGTATGAAATAGAATTGCACTAAAGCATGGGAGAAGCATAGCAAATTTTACACCTGCTTACGACGAGCCAGCTAATCTTCTCTGCACTTCACACAGATGAGCTTATTTACTCCTCCATCAACTCCATGAGACGGGTATGGATATAACCCCATTTTATGGGTAAGAAAACATAAGGTTCCACAGCGAGGCATGGCGGAGCCAGGATTCGAGCCCAGGGAGCTCAGGGGCAGTATCCAAGCTCTTCACTAGTGTACTACAAGTGCCTGGCCTCGGAAGGATAAGGACCGGGAGAATGTGAGTCCTAGGCCACAAGCCCACAGAGCACACACAAGCACATCTAAGGCACCAAGGCATGCTTTGCGCTTTGCCCAGAGGGGGCGCTCCCACCCATCAGAGTGGCTATGGGGTGGGGCCTCAAAGAAGTTGTAGTGGCCCTGAGTTCTACCAGGACTGGATTATTCTGCCTGCCCCAGCTTCGGGAGGAGTCTCCAGTCAAGAGGGCCCCCTAATCCATATGCCTTCTTTCCTCTGAGCAGATGTTTTGGGGAAGAGCCAGGTTTAATTACAATATTCTAGCAGAACTCTGTCCACCTGGCTCAGCCTCAGAGTATTTGCTACTCTGAGTAGCACTCCTCTGGCGGTCGGTGAACTGTCACTCATGGTCTACCTCCTGCCCACTACCTCTTCTTCACTTCCGTCTCGTCCATGCTCTGTGGCTGCTTCTGCACTACCACAATAAAACGGAGCCGTTACCATAGACACCACACGGCCCACAAAGCCTAAAATATTTATTATCTGGCCCTTTATGGAAAAAGTGTGCCAGCCCCTATCATAGGCGGTTCCAGGGAAAAAGGAAATTGGCAAACTCTGTTGTAAAGATCGAGAAGCTCATAATTTCTGAGGAAGAAGTGAAACGCACAATAGAGAAAAAGGTACTTCCCACCGTAGTTTTAAAAGGTGCCCCGTCTTCAAATGAGAATCTCCCATCATCTGGCTCTTACCCTTCGTCGCCCGAGGCAAGCTCCTTCTGACCCAGCGTCCCCGGCCCCCACGTCCGTCCCTTCTTCTTGGAAGTCCTCTTCTCCTCCTCCTCTCCTTCCTCCTTTGGGATGACTGAGCTCCGGCCCCAGGTTTTGCTGCTTTCACCTGGTGTCACTGTGAGTAACAAAGGTTGGATGGAATCTGGAGACAGATGGACAGCGCTCCCGACCAGCCCCCTAAACCAGCCTCTACACACACACACACACACACACACACACACAAACACACACACACACAAACACACACACACTTGGAGCTCCCGGGAAGAAGTCACATTTCTTCAAAAACTCCGTGCCCACGTGGAGCCTTCCAGGAAAGTAATGGAGTTCTCAGCCCCCTCTCACTTAGCATTCTCAAAGTACCAGACGTGGGAACCCTTCCTAGGTTCTCATGAGTCCAACGAAAAGCTGGAGCGCAGGCCAACCAGCCCTCAGTGCTCCAAACAGATCTGACGGAGACATTTGTTTGGTTGGGTGGGACTAGAGTGTGGGGTGGGTGGGGATAAGGGGCAACGGAGGTGTGAAGTGCAGACATTTTTGTAAGGAAAGTGGTGGAAAGGAAGCAAATGAGGGTTTCGAGGCTCTGGAAAAGGAAGTCAGGAGGAGGAGGACAGAGGAAAGGAACAGGCCTAGAGAAATAGAAGAGATAACAGGAAGAACACTCTTCTGGGCGTGGGCTGAAACCCACCTGCTTCAGAGAAGTGGCTTATTCCACAAATGAGTGAAGTGAGCCAGTTGCCAAAAAATAAGCAGTTGAGAGAACTGAGGCAAAATACGGAGCATGTGGAAGCCTCCGCGGGTGCCAGCCAACTGTGGCCACTGCAAAAGGGAGTCCACTGATGTGGTCTGATTTTTCAAGGAAAGCCAGAAATCCGGAATTTTTTTTTTTAAGTGAAATCTCTTAAATCAGGGAAACTAGTTCATTCATATACATACACACACACATGCATGTGACATGTATATGCTTTAAAACTACAAGGAGTAGTTTTAAATGGCGATGCTGTCCATCTGTCTCCAGATCCCATCCAACCTTTTAGAACCACAAGGAGTGTATATATCAATTCTTTTTAATAAACACCGCCATAAAAATGAAATCAGCCCTAACCAGTTTGGCTCAGTGAATAGAGCACTGGCCTGCGGACTGAAGGGTCCCAGGTTCGATTCCGGTCAAGGGCATGTGCCCTGGTTGCGGGCACATCCCCAGTAGGGGGTGTGCAGGAGGCATCTGAGCCATGTTTCTAACTCTCTATCCCTCTCCCTTCTTCTCTGTAAAAAAATCAATAAAATATATTTTAAAAAAATAAAAATACATATTTAAAAAAAAAAAAAGAAATCGGTCCAGATTTGGCCTATCATAAAATACTTGGCAAGTTTTCTTAGGACCTACACTTTGAAAACACCCTTCCCTAGGAAGCATGAACAAAAGAAAAACAACGACACCTCAAATACAGCAGAGCGCACAAGGTGCCCAGGCCATGGTACCAACCTGTATCTATATCACACACCAAAACGCTTTGTACCCACAGACCTTTGCTGGTATCTGACTACGAGGAAGAGGAAGAGGAGGCAGCAGTAAAGCTAATGGAGGGAGACCAGGGGAGGCTGAGGTTTGCGTACATATGTGCATGTATATACACATTGTCGAGGAGAAGTGGCAGGAGCTATGGATGGTGCAAGCCTGGACCAGTCGGTGGCTGGACAGAGTCGGGGACAGATGCCCCCGATGTTCTGGCCCCAACTAATCTGGGAAGCAGTCTCACACTGGATGGCTCGAAGGCGAGGGATGATGGTGGGGCTTGCAGGAGGGCTGGAGCGGCTGCTGCTGAGGCTCTTCCTTTTATCCATGGTCGGGGAGGCCTGCACCGTGAACTTGTGCTGGAAATCTGCTTGGAGAAAGATAAACACACGTGCATTAGAATGCTCCCACAACCCAGTTCCTCCTAGAAAACACGCACTTCCTGGCAGGCTTGAGGGACAGGCCCGTTTCCTAAGAAACTCCTCGTTCACCGGGGAAATGTTCTCTTTCAGAATCATCTCTTTTCCCCCAAAAAGATGGCAGGATGGCAGGATGGACATACAAGGAGAAGGAAAACTCCTTATCCCAGTGGAAGTCATGAGACAGTTTTCATAAATGGATACAGGTGTGGCGATTACATATTTAGAATAGTCCTTTTGGGATCCTGAGAGTTGATGATTATCCTAGGAAGTCTAACTTTAAATTCTCCGTCTCATATAATCTATTAGTGCACACCTGTCTTCTCAGGGACCCCAGCAGGCAGACTAATGCTTCTCACCACGTGCAGGCAGAGCAGGGGAATAAGAACGAACCCTTGGTGGGAACCTAGGGAAGTGAGGGCCATGGAGCTAATGGTCCGAATTCTGATGCATTTCAAAGGCAGTTACGGCTCGGCCTAAGCCATGGAAAGTGTACAGCTCTGAATTTCTGAGTGTTACTCTCCTCATCGACCAAAGAGGTATAATCATCACAGCTGCATGCTGACACCTAAGTCTGCCCCCTGGACTGTGACCTCCCTGAGGTGGGAACGATTGTGATTGAGTCTCTCTGCTACCCCGGCACGCAGCAGTCTGCGGGCACATGCAGAGGCTCAGAGGTGCTTAGGGACTGTATTGCCTGAAGAGAAAACAAATGCTCAACAAGGAAACCAGTAGGCAGGCCCCATGAACACATTCACTGGCTTTCACTAAACGAATTCCCTTGTCTCTGCTTACGCCACCATCCTTGTGCTCCAGACCACCCACTCCTGCTCCTACTCGGCCATATTCCCCACGTTCCCTCACTTCTAATCAGCTTGCTCCCTGGGGCCTTAAGGACTCGGAATACACTGAACCTTTTCATCTACATAAACACACACTTAAGCGTTCACCTCCCTCCATGGGTACAGCGCCCCCCACAAGATTCTAATGCCTAGTTTCATATTTCTGTGCATTTTCCCGGGGTTGTGCATACCACAAAGGTACCTGTACTCAGCCAATGCGTTTCTGAAAGGATATGTGTAAATCAGATTCTTATATATTAGTCCTAATCGCAATTGCGCCCAGTGAACTAATTATTTATAGCAGTGGTTCTCAACCTTCCTAATGCCACGACCCTTTAATACAGTTCCTCATGCTGTGGTGACCCCCAACCATAAAATTATTTTCGTTGCTACTTCATAACTGTAATTTTGCTACTGTTATGAATCGTAATGTAAATATTTGATATGCAGGATGTATTTTCCTTGTTACAAATTGAACATAATGAAAGCATAGTGATTCATCACAAAAACAATATGTAATTATATATGTGTTTTCCGATGGTCTTAGGCGACCCCTGTGAAAAGGTCGTTTGACCGCCAAAGGGGTCGCGACCCACAGGTTGAGAACCGCTGATTTAAAGGAACCCTGAGATGAGACAAGAGTTCTTTTTCTCACACATACATGCTCTGGAATCTCTGTTCCCCACAATGACACGCTTCCTTCGCCAGATGTGCCTAAGGTAGGATGTGCTTACATGAGTGACCATGCTTCTAGCAGCCGGACCGGGCTTGCCCGTCAGGACCACCGCCAGTGTGTCTTCCCTTCATATTCTGTGTTCAGTCACCCTCACAAAGTGCCCTGGGGTGGAGTCCCTTTTCAGCAGGCCAGTCCAACGGAATGGCCCATTCCAGGCCGGCTCCATGTTGAGACTCAGCTGCCATGGGTCCAGCTCAGCCCCTGGCTCCCGCACCTCCCCGGCCACCCCAGCCCCTCGCCCAGTGCCCAAGTCCCAGTGGGTCCCTGGCCACTAACCCGAAGGGAGGCTGATGCGGTTCCCGTCCTTGAGCTTCAGCCGGCTCTTGCGGAACTTGCCCTTGCGTTTCTTCACCCGCGGCTTCTCCTGGCACAGCTGGTGGATGATGATATTGAGCTCGCGTCCCAGGATGTCGATCTCCCGCTCAGCCAGCTCCTGCTCGCGGCGTCGCAGCAGCTCCTCCTGGTTCTTCTGCTGCAGCGCAGCCCGCGTCAGCTCCTCCTCCCATGTGCGGAGTTCCTGGGGGCAGCAGGACCCAGAACCATGAGTAGGAGTGGGTGTCAGTGCAGAGAGGTGAGGCCTGAGGGCCCGGAGGCTGGTGCTCAGGGACACCTGGAGAGCGCCCCTTTAACACCCCATACATCCAGTCCCCAGCAGAGACGGCAGCACCATAGTTAGCTGGTGAATGAACACCTGCCCACCTGGATGGTGGAGAAAGGCAGGCTCAGAACAGTCACACTGAGGATACAGGTAGAGGAGCCAGAGGCCAAGCCCGGGACTGAGAGCTCCCAGTGGTTCCTTGATTATTGATTAAAATTGCTTATGAGTTAGGAAAAAAAATGGAGGGTTGGGTAGAAAATATAATATGTACTTATATTTTGCAGATGTGATTCTACTTTAAATTTTCCCATCACGTAAGAATGTTAGTGTTTTTTTTAAACAAGAGCCAACTTAATGTGATCTACCTTAAAATGTGCCCACTATAAATGAATCACTCTGCCGGCATCACCTAAAACATTCAAATAAAGAAAACAGCCCTAGCCAGTTTGGCTCAGTGAATAGAGAGTTGGTCTGCGGACTGAAGGGTCCCAGGTTCAATTCCGGTCAGGGGCACATGCCTGGGCTGTGGGCTCAATCTCCAGTGGGGGTGGGGGGGGGGGGGTGCAGGAGGCAGCCAATCAATGATTCTCTCTCATCATTGATGTTTCTCTCTCTCCCTTTTTCCTTCCTCTAGGAAATCAATTTTTTTAAAAATATTTTTAAAAAACACACAGATTTCCAGAGTGGCTGTTGCAGAAGAGGTAGGGGAGGCATGCTTGCTTGGTGAGGGAGTCCGCTGAGGCATGTGGTCAGAACTCTCTTCTTATCTTTATTTTTTTTAAATGTATTTTATTGATTTTTTACAGAGAGGAAGGGAGAGGGAGAGAGAGTTAGAAACATTGATCAGCTGCCTCCTGCACACCCCATACTGGGGATGTGCCCGCAACCAAGGTACAGGCCCTTGACCAGAATCGAACCTGGGACCCTTCAGTCCGCAGGCCGACGCTCTATCCACTGAGCCAAACCGGTTAGGACTCTTCTAATTTTAAAGGACAGCCATTTGCTCTGGAAGGATGGTGATGGTGCAGGCAAGAAAAGAGAGAACATTTCCTGACATCTTTGCCAGGCACTTGCTCTAGAACCACTGCCACATTAGGTGGGCAGACCCCCTTTTCCTTCTACATGAATTTATCAATGAACCCAGCACGGAGTCCTGGGAAGAGGTGGGAGGCATGGAATCAGGAAATAGGAAAGAAAATAGGAAAGAGAACAAAGCATGTGTATAAAATTTTTAAATATGGAACCTAAACTTTTAACACTGGATACTCCAGGCCTAGGACTGAAAGGGGTGGGGATAAGGGGAAATTTAAGAAAGCTCTCATGTCAATAACCTAGGAGAACCATGTTTAAAAAGTGGAATGTTTCTTTAATAAAGAAGCCAGAACAACACTTCTGTGGTAGAAACTTAAAATTCTCAATGACATGCTCCACTAGAAGGAGTCATTCTGGACAAAAACAAAATACTATAGATAAGAAACTTAGACCTTTTTTTAAAAACAAGTATGAGAGCACATATTGGGGAAGCTGAGCAGCAGGTAGAAAGCAGAAGAGAAAACAGAGATGGGAATAAAATGTTCTGGTGGTAGGAGCTTTTTGTCTGACTAATCTTCCATTCCCAAGAGAATATCAAAACAACCATAAAAGGAATAGAATGAGAAACAAGAAGAGGATTAGCACCTAGGAAATTGTCTGGTATATGGTAGGTGCTCAGTAACTGCTGAATCAATGAATGAATGAGTGAATGAGAAAGAAGGAGGTAGAAGACACTTTTATAAATGCAATCCTCCTTTATGGAACATAGATTCATCATAAGTATCTACGAGATGAGCTTGAACTTTTGAGCTTCTACTTTGATGAAATAAGCTCCAAAGAGATCAATGGTGCACCTTCCAAATCCTTGGCTTCCCTGTCCCATGACTTAGCTTTCACCATCAGGAAAACACAAACACATGGACGAATCAGAAAAATTGTTACTGGTTGGTTGTAATAATTTACCATTTGCTGCTAAGTGGGAGCGCTGAACAGTTCAAGCTAATACCAGCCTTTCTAAGTCCTCTCTCCCACATACTCTTGTGTAAGGGATGGTTTGAAGCTAAGCTCCTTCCTTTTAGGGAACCCCAACCCCAGTCCAGAGACCAAGCCAGGTCACAATACCTAGAAGCAGTAGGTTGAGCCAACCTGAAGAATAAGCTGAATCACATAGGAAACCAAGACATTCACAGAGTACTAGCCTAGGGCACTATATACCTGGAAGAACCTCACACATGGTAAGTCCCCTTCTTGTGAAACACCTATGAGGGGTCAACCTCATAGTGTGCCAATCATATTGTCTACCGTCAATAATGTAAGAGGAATCACTCCAGAGACAAAGCTCATTATTCATCTTACTCTCACTCGCCCAACTACAAGCCTTATGTGGAGAGGCATCACAGCGAGGACTGGCCCTAACCGGTTTGGCTCAGTGGATAGAGCGTCGGCCTGCTGACTCAAGGGTCCCAGGTTCGATTCCGGTCAAGGGCATGTACCTTGTTTACAGGCACATCCCCAGTAGGGAGTGTGCAGGCGGCAGCTGATCGATGTTTCTCTCTCATCGATATTTCTAACTCTCTATCCTCTCCCTTCCTCTCTGAATAACCAATAAAATATATTTTTTTAAAAAAGAGCGAGGACTGAACAAACTGCCTGAACTGTGTGGCCTTGGGCAATTTGATAGGGGCCTCATCTGTGATAGGGAGTTAATAGCACCAACATCACAGGGTTGTATAACATAAGATAATTATTATCTCATTAGGTATGATTATGTAAGAATTCATATAAATAAATAACAGACCACAGCACATAGTACCTGCTCTATGAATGTTAGCTATTGTGAGAATGGGTTTGACTTTTGCTAGTAACTACTTATTGACAAAATCCAACTTTCATTTTTTTATTGGCTGGTACCCTTATAATTTCATTCATCAAAAGAAATAACTGAGAGTCAGTGATTAGCAATCTAGCAAAAGGCCAGCAACTCTGCAGTTTTTCTAGTTGGAACAGTTTTTTAATCATTCTGCTCAGTGGTCAGTGCAGGTCTCTCCCCCTGCCCCCTGAGATCCTTAAAGATTTGTCATCAGCTCACTCCATTCCCCTGCAGAATGCTTGCTGACTCGACAAACGGTACCAAGTTTAGGACTGCTCTGTTGAATAAAAAGAATTTAATCTTGTTACATCGCCTCCGGAAATGATGTTGAAGTCATTTGTTTAGGGAACAATAATGATACCGCGAAGAGGATGATTTGGGAATCTGAAGACCCAGGTTGAAGTTTCTGGTTCCCTGCTTACCTAGACCAGTCACTGACCCTCAGTTCCGAGAAGAAAAAGATAATGACACCTGCCCTACATGCTGGCGGCAGGGGCATAAGACTCCGGGATAAAAAGGACGAAAAGGTCTTAGCAGACCTTTCAAGTGAAAGAACTGAGAAGTCATAAAGATACGTGTAATTTTAGCTGCTATTATTATCATGTTGCTT